ACAAGGGATCACGCGAGGACGTCGGGCGCGAAGGTGACCCCTATGCAGTCGATTCCGAATCGTCTGGCCACTCACTCTCACACCAGTGTCTGTTTGAAGACGAGCGCTGATCTGATTTGCTGTGATGACACGATTTCTCAAGGCCAAGGTACGGATAAATCGATCCTGGGCTTGAGTTGTCGCCCTTGGTCGACCTGAGCGTGGTCTGTCCTGTACAGATTGTGTATCACGGTATCTGGACCATAGCCTGCTTATGACAGACTGAGAAACATTCATCGTCCGCGCCACAACCGCCTGTGTTGTGCCGATCTGTAGCATGCCAAGGGCACGTAACCTTTCATTTTGGGTAAGCCGACGCATATCAAAATTTGTTTTCTGGTCACTAAAACAATTAAACTGATGTTTCCACCCTGGAATTCAATGCCACAATGACTGTAACATGCAAAGTCAGAGTCGTGCAAATCTTGGGTTGGACCCCCATGATGATCCCAAGCATCACCTGCATTCCATGCGGTAGCTATTGGTGCGTTTGGGCGTCACATGTAACTGGAAATGTTTCTTCTGTTAGGTTCTATAGTGACTTTTTTTCGTAGTCATTTGCATATTTTAGTATTATGCCCCCAAAATCAAATATCCCCTACTTTTTTGAATAGTATATATAACAGTACTTGGAAAATGTAAATTGTTTTATTTCATTATTAAATATTTAAATTCATAATGTGATGAAATTGTAAAATAAGAAAGGCATAGATTTACTTTAAAATGAATCCATTTATTTTCAGTAATTCCGGTAAATTTACTGCTTTGTCACCAATCAATACATCAATGAGTTCTGTAAGAGATGTACAATGTAGTGGTAGTAATTTAACTTCATGTAAAGCTTATCCAGTAACAACTCGTTACGATTGTGGAAACCCTTCAGAACTAACAGTGGTTAACTTGGATTGTTCAGGTGGATAACCATACTATTCATAAAAATAACTATTAATCACCGAAAATAGAAGGTTTATATATAAGTTGTCTGATCTCTTCCAGAAATAAATTTGAATAGTTTGCAGATCTTATAGTAAGTGCAGGGGGCCGCACTACACGCAAACACGATCTATATGACAAACCTGGGGAAAAGACACAAACTACAATATAGTCATTGCAAGCAATAAACAGCAAACGTAGACTATATATAAAATTATAAAATGAAATGAATGGATCCGGACGTCAGTCGTACGAGTCTCCTGTGCTGTATAAGCTTCACTCAAAATGATAAACATACTAACAATAAAAGAGAGAAAAATTTAGCAACGAATTACCAAAAAAGGCGCTATACAAATAATGTAGACGGTGTTCGTCTGCTAAATGGCGTTTCTTGACGGCGATAGTTTGCAAATTGACGTCATAGATTAGTGCGTCAAAACATTAACAATGATAAGGGCGATAATCCGTATAGAATTTGGGTAAACACTAAACGGTAACATTAACAATTAGCAATTTAGGAATACAAATAAATAAAGTTTAGTGAGTAAGCCCGGGTATAATTTGTGTTTCATTTTATGTTTTAATTTCAATAGATGGTCAGAGCGTAACATTGGGTTATGTTGTAAGTCCGTGGGAAGGTGAACTTCAGTTTCATATTGGCATTTCAAGTGTTCAGTTATTGAGCAACCGAGTCTCCTTGCATATAGCAGAAATGAGATCTGCTTGCAGTTCTTTAGGCTATCGGTGAGTTTAATCTATCACTCAGTATTTTTATAAGACACTGCGCTTTGTAGTTTGAAGGCATTGTATCGAATTTAACCTAAAATATTTTCCATTATATATATCTTGTGGTGTGCATGTTTGTCATCGTTAACTCTATGTCAGAGACAAGGCATGGTTGTTTTATAGCTATCTAACAAACTATAAACATCTCTATTGCTGAAACGGTGATATTTACCAATTTAGATCCAAGCCTGCATTTCAAAAGTGTTATTATCACCATCACGATATGACATGTCTACTTTCATAACATATTTTTTTTTTCTTTTTATCATACTCGAATTTTAATTTAACACGACGGCAGTGGTAGATGTCACGCCTGGGGCAGTGTGCGCTAACTAAACCTTTCATGAACACTTGGTACAACTTCCCGTCATTATTACTCAGTTTTGCCGAATTGGTACACTGGTTAGGATCCAATATGCTTGAATTATATTATGTACACCAAGACCTGATCTTATATCTTTCGAATATAAACCAAAGGTTCTTTTAACATGGACAATTTCTCCAGGTAACAATAGAATATTGAACAGATTTAAATACAGAAGTTATTTTTTGCAGGAATGTAAAAAAGCCTAAAGTAACTTCTAGTCCCCGAACAGTTACTTCTAAATATGTATACGAATTTACTTGTCCAACAGATGAAAAATACAATCAACATATATCTCAGTGTCAAATCAGATCATCTAGCTATCCTCATTACCATTCTATCAATTTAAACTGTTTTGGTAAGTACTACTACATTACTTGACATCATGTTTTCACTCAATGTCTCATTTAGTTTGTTATTGGTTTTGATTCCATTCATTTATTGTTTACTTAGTTTTGCGTTGATTTACTTGCCTTATGGACCCCTAAAACAATCTGGAGAATCTTACTAAGTACTGAACTATTTAACTATATATATCGATCAACAGCGCATTCAAAAAATAAGGCAGTCATCCCTACAATGATAGAGCTTAACATCTAATCAAATAACACATTCTTTTATGGAAAGCAATTAGTATGGTTTATTACACTGTGACGTTTCAACAGCAATTTACAAGTCCACACTTATATTTATCTGTTTGTCTATGCTTGATAACGAACTTTGAAATGTTGTTCAAACGTCACAGTGTGTTATTTGATTATGTCCAAATTACTAAATGTCATTCAAAGAATATATAATATCTAATATGGTTTTTATTTTATGTTTAAACTCTAGTATACGGATATCAGTATAAAGGTAAAGAAAGTGGTTATCTAAGTGATGTCTATAATGGTACAAGAGATTCGATGCATTACATCAGTACTAGTGGTAAAGCTCCCCTATACAGATTTAAATTTACCACACTTCATTTATTTAATATAGATTTCGTAGAAGTAAGTAATCATCTGTTGTCGATACATCGTCCAAATAGCGATTTTTTCTCACACAAGTTATTCTAGTCTATATGGTTAGGAGTTTATTCTAAATTTTGTTATACACGGTTTGGAGAGCAGTCTCATTTTTGTTTTGCAGTGTAATTAAACGGTATGCGTTTTCAAGAAACCCATCGTCTTTAGTTATCAAGGGTGGGGAATGAACACGGAGAAAAACCTGACCAATAGGAAGCCCACATACTCCTCGCAGTATTTCGTTTCATTAGACCTAATATCACAGGGGTTTCTCGTATCATTGATTCATGGCTTACAATTTCTTCCATAAGTTTATCTATTAAGCGCATAACATAAGACTCGGGCTTCTCCCAACACACAATTCAGTTAGATACACTACATGATATTGTTGTCGTTTATTTCAGACAAATGTCACTCATAAATAATCTCAAGCTACCTATGTTTCGTATTTAACTTGGTTTCGTAATATTGTAGGCACTAGGTGCAATAAGCCTATAGGTACATTGTACGTCGCCCTAAAGGGCTTTTCTACCCACTTTGACATTTTGTATTGTATGTTTTGTTTTCAGCTAAAGTTTGTTGTATGTTGTGCCTGTCAGTACTTGTGCTGTTTAAAAGGTTTTTGTAACGCTTCTTTTGACTGTCAGTACGTTGTGCTGTTTAATAGGCTTTTGGAATAAGACATGGTCCAAACCCTAAATTTGTTTTAAACCTCATTAATCCAAGGATTGAAAGCCATGATTTGATAACACCCCAATTGTTATATATTATATAACTACCACGTGGCTCATTAAATATCACAGCTGTTTATAACTACCATCCGGCTCATTAAATAGCACTGCGTTTTGGTTAATAACTATAAAATGGATCGTTAGACCCGGGATTTGATGACATTACACAATTTGTTTTATTTCACAGATTAAAGAAACACCACTTGGACCTACTATCGCTTATTATGATGTTAACGGAGGACCATCACTATCAGTATATTTTAAAAAGGATTTGTTCATACGTTACCAAACCAATTCGTCTTCATCTCAGTCACACTTCATGCGAGGGGGGTGGGTTCGTAAGTATCAACATTATAGCTGTTTTAAATTTATTTTATTATTATGATTATTATTTTGAGTGTTTTGGTGGAAGAGTGTTTTGTTGTATGACAACCCATATTTCAGTGGCATTATCACTTTCAATAGCTTTAGTTTCATCCGTTAACACTGTGAACAAACGTATGGTCTTATTATTGAAAAATAAGTAGACGACCCTATGAAAAATATTTTGTATCAGAGTTAAATGTCCACTATCAATTGTTTACGACTAGTTGATTGATATATCTGCTTAATGACAATTCATCAAATGAGAAGTGCTACAAGCCAGGATAAAAATATATTATTCGCTCGACGAGAATATTACTATTTGAAGTTCTCATTGGTTTCTATAATGTAAATACTAATAGTTCATGTCACGCCAATATGTGTATGAAATATAATTGATTTGTAGTTATTTTAATTAAAACATTGACATTAAGATATGTAACCACTTTAAGCACAAAACATGTAATTCAAAAGATCTACAAACGTCTGTGTAACAATATACAGTGGACTCTGTCAAATCCGACATCGTACGGGAGCGTTACAATATGTCGGATTACGCAGTGTCGGAATACTCGGTTTTCTCAAAACCGGAAGTATTATTGTAACTTCGAAGTTGTAGCGTCGAATCCCCAGAACGTTATTCCCTTTAAAAAAATGATAAACCTTTCTGTACATTTAAAATTTTATTACATTAAAATATATTACAATAACAATGCATAATTATTGCACATGTGACTTTGCTGTCACGTGTTCATTGATAATCTGCCCTTCTATGTCCAGGTCGTCGTCACACGGTTTGGAGAGATCCGTAGGGTGAACAAACTGAGGTATTCGGGTTCAATCAGCATGCGCAACGAATGTTTCCAACAGGTGCTAGGAATATTTTTTCGACTGTGAATTCGTGGGAAAATTCGTGGGTATTCTTGAGTATTTGTCTACTTCATGCATGACACTTGTCGCTATTTTGAGAACTCAAATGAGAGGTAGTATCAAGGGTTTAAGAAACTTTTATAGTAAATTTTCTTTCTTTCTTTCTGATTTTTTTTTTGTAGCTTTTGAAGTGAAGGAAACGGTATCACTGTCATGTTATGCTGATAGAATGTACATAAAAGTAAATCTAACGGAACTAAGTATATTATACAATGATACAGACCCACGTTATATATCCTTATTAAATGAAGGATGTACAGGATCCTATGCAGGTGATATTTGGTATATTGAAAATAAGAATGCTGATTGTTATACTAAAAGATTGGTAAGTGCCTACAATACTAATTTCCACGACAGGTGGGGTTTTAAGGAATATAAGATATTAGAATGTAATGCTTCTCGGCGCCGTCACCTCTCTAACATGACATAGAATGACGTTCGAGATCGAAAGTAAACTATGATAGATTAACTATTGTTTTCAGTGGTAGGCTACGTCATGTTTTCAATGTTACCAAATATGTATTTGTTTGTTTATATCAGATTAGCAACGTTTCTATGACGTATAGAAATGATTTAATTTATAAAGAGGTCGGTAATGGACCGATCGTTCGAGAACACAGGTGGAAAGTTGTCCTAGAATGTGAATTTGCAAGAAAAGAGGTGGTAAGACTTCTATTAATAATCTTTGGGGATAAAGACTTAAATCTCAAATATGGATATTTCCAATGCGTGCGGGGAACGGTTGGTGTGTGTGTGTGTGTTTGGATAGCTTGTGGGGGTCAAATTACAAAATTAAGCAAGGCCAATATTACCTATGTGTTATTATTCGGTCATCGGTCATGATACTGTTAATGACAACCTGGACAGGAATTGAAATCCAGAAGGGATAGAGGAATTCAATAGATTTTGTTGCGTCACAGTGATCCTCGCTTAAAGGGCATATTTTTTAAAATAAAAATCATAAATGGATTTGAAAGCACATATTAATGTAATATGAGTATATATAAAGTGATTCGTAATTTCTAATCAATTATGTTCGGTCAAATACGCGAACATTCCAAACTGGACGACAATCGTTGACGCCTAATTAGTCCATTCTTCACGTATTTTTTTATTATTATTTTATCGTGAATCATCCATTACTATTTACTGCCGCATTGTAATTTAGAATACATTTTTCTCTATTCATTGGTTTTGCGCCCGAAACGATGTGGTACACGACTCGTGTACCATATTTTAAAACGTTGATTGTGTCTTAAATATTGGATATTAGGGCACCACATTTTCACGGCAACATACCAACATCAATATGGATTGAAGTGGATCAATATTGAATTCTATTTTGTGTTTTTAACTTCAAATATTATGGAAAATATTGAGTTAGAGAATTGGCTCCTTTAAAGCGATACCAAGCTGAATTTATGTCGGATAGAGATTTGAAGACAATAAAAACAGGTTCTTTTACCAAGGAACATATTCAGATCAACCAATTCTGACATTTAAAGTTTACATTAATATAGTGATTTCTTTATAATTTATCTGTATTAGATACCATCGGGCTATAATGTGAAAGAACAAGTTGATCATGTGATAAATGTGAATTCCACCTATCAATCTACCATGCAGCTGTTTAATGATTCCTCTCTACAAAATGAGATTAAGGTAAATCCAACAAAAGCCTCACTAGGAGATGATCTCTTTGTTTTAATTAGTATGGATGAAGATTGGAATGTTACTATGAAGATTCAGACATGTGTAGCACGCCCCGAACCCGGTTCTTCTACCGCGTATCTTCTAATAGACAACGGGTAGGTCATTTAATTCTATCCGTATGTTATTATTGCACATTTAATTTAATGTCGTATATATCCACACAGTTGTATTTTTTATAATAAATTGTCTTATTTCCATTGGAGTAAATTTTCAATTTTCTATTTGTACAATTTCCATTTGAACATTTATTATTTATATACAGACATAATGTTTTTTAATTTTTAAAATAAGATTTGTATTTTTTCACAGATTATTTCAATTTAATCAAGGCAGGGTTATTTAAATTTTGCCAGAATATTAATATTTTAATTTGAACAGAATACAAGTATTTTATTTAGAGATATATTTATTATGATCAGCTTTTTTTTTATTGTAGGTGTGCTACTGACAGTGAAACAACAATATTACACGAACACCAAAACTCAACGCTCTTTCATTTTAAAGCATTTGAGTTTTATGCCGGATATAGTTCAGTATATTTATTCTGTGATATTTTCTACTGTAATGACGATAATCAGTTGGAGGTGTGTAAAACGAAAACATGTAAACCTCATTAGTTATATTCTATGTATTGACTAATTTAAGAATATTAAAGGCGGGAGTTTGAGACTAGAGTTTGTATTGCTTTACATAACTTTCATATGCTATTTTAATATGAATAGCTGTGTGTTTAATAGTTATACGGCCTATGTTGGGTGAATAAAGGGACCCAATAGTGTAGAGAAATCTCCTGTGGAAAGCAGGGCCAAGGGAAATCAAAAGTTAAGTGGATATTCAAACCCTTTTTGGTAATTTTAGACCAGAAAGAAACCCAAGAAGAAATGTGATAAAAATAAGTACCAATGATTGATATACTCTTCAAAAAAAGTAGGGGATATTGAAATGAAATTACCTATGCAGGTTGTGATATGAATGGACACTTGGCATGCTTTGAGGGTATGTTCACAGATGAAGAACTTATCGCCCCAACAGAACCACTGAACTGCACTTGCGACACGCAGTAGCGCCATACACGTGGGAGGGTTCATTGTCAAATTTGACAATTCAAGGTAGGGTTAATGAAAACTGCCGCGTGCTGGTTTATCCTCTCCATGTTAGCTTTCCTATCGATTCTTGCATAAGATTTACCGTTTAGCGTATCTTTGCTTTAGTGTGTTACGTTTAATTTGCAATAAGACGTCGTCAACATGATGAACGTCTCCGTGCTATTGACATGCTTCAAATGGGTTCTACACAGCGAGCAGTATTCAACATGCTTAATGTGGCACAGTCTGTGATCAGCAGACTGTGGAACCGGTAGCAACAAACACACAATGTTGATGATAGACCTCGTTCAGGTCGTCTTAGAGCCACTACACAAGCCCAGGTTCGATACATTCGTACACAGGACCTGCAAAATCGAGGACAAACGGCCAATCAGCTTTCTGTAAACTTGTACCAAGTTACAGGAATTCGAGTTACACCCCAAACGATTAGAAATCGGCTACATGCAGACCACCGCGTGTTGTGCCTCCATTAACTCGCCAGCACATGGCAAACAGGTGTCAATGGCGAAGTCAGCGTAGAAATTGGGGTAATCGTCGATGGCCCCGTGTAATGTTCTCAGATGAGTCCAGATTTACTCTGGATTTCACCGATAGGCGTGCTCGCGTTTGGAGGCGTGTAAATGAGCGTCATGCTAACGTTAACGTAAGATTGCATGACAGATTCGGGCGTGGGTCTCTTATGGTGTGGAGAGGAATCACCATGACTGGCAGAACGGACTTGCATATTGTTCAAGGAAGGGTCACTGGTGTGTACTACCGTGACCACATCCTGGCACCGATAGTTCTGCCCTTTGCTCAACGTGTAGGTCGACGTTTCATCTTTCAAGATGATAATGCCCGTGCCCACCGCGCTCGTGTCGTGAATGGCTACCTCCAGCGTCACCATATTGTCCATATGCCTTGGCCAGCCATGAGTCCTGACCTTTCCCCTATAGAGCATGCTTGGCACTTGATCGGGAGAGGTGTTCGTCGACGTCAACGTCAACCGGCAACACTGCAAGAACTGGCCGTGGCACTGCAAGAGAAGTGGATCAGATTGCCCAAAACAGTGATTGGACGGTTGATTAGGAGCATGCTACGACGAATTGCTGAATGTCTGAGGATTGGTGAAGCAATTACTCCTTATTAAGACAAAAATCAAAAACGTCCATTTTCACATTTGACAGTGTATCTCTTTGCGAGTGAAATGGGACCGTCAGATAAGCCGAGCATATGAACTGTTTATGTTCATGTGTAGGCAATTGGCCTGTCTGTTATTAACATACACTGGTTACCTCTAATAAATACAGCAGTGCATTTCCGAAGTTTTGTATTGTTTCTGAATATCCCCTACTTTTTTGGAAGAGTATAATATATAAATTACTAGACTTTAATGTTAATTCCTGTATCTTTGCCGGTTCGTAAACATGTAACTATCCGCCACACATTGCACGAGAGAGAGAGAGATTTGGTTTAACGTCCACTCGACACAATCTAGGTCATTTCGAATTTTATTTCAATAATTCGCTTACGCGTAGGGGTCTTTAGCAGTGGGGGGATACCGGAGGACCCGGAAAAAACCCACGAGGTTGGACAGGCGACCCTACTCCTTGTCACGTACAACTGGGGATTCGAAACCACGCCAGTTGACTCAATGACAGGTCTTATGATACAGCACGCACGTGCTAACCATTCGGCCATCAAACCCCCCACATAGCACTATAGCAAAGTCGTGTTAGCCATGGGAGCCACGGCGGCTAGGTGGTTAAGACGCTGGCTCGCTAGCCTGGAGGTCGGGTGTTCGATCCCTGCATTGGCCGAGAAAGTTCATCAGGATTTTCCAACGTGGTTTCCCCTTGTCAGTCGTGCAGAACGGAGGGCCTGACAAGTACAGCTGTCTAGTCCTTCGGATGTTACAAAAAACCGAGATCCCGTGTATATATTGGAATGCACGTAAGAGATCCCCTGTCAGTTGGAATTCGATATAAGAGTAGGCGATAGTGCCGCTGCCCGGGCAAAATTTCCCGCATAGTACACTGTATGGCGTATGCCCGTCTTCATTAGCCCAGTATAGGAGCAGAAAAGTAGGACGTTAAACCCCATTTCATTCATTTCGTGTTAGCCATTAGACATCTCTAAACCAGAGAAACCACAATTAGAATATGCCGAGATAGAAAAGTAATTGGTGGTTTGAATCTACATTACAGTTATCTTCAAAATAATTAGTAGTGGGATTTCAATGTGAGTGAATATTTTTAGCTGGAAAGAGTCATCTCCCTTTAATTATTGATGTAAATATGCGGAATCGATCGAGAATGACTATGGTCTAATTTACTATTCTTACTTGGATATGTGAACTTCTACGATGCTTGAGAAGTGGTTTTAAGTATTTAGGAAAAAGTAAAAATATATCACAGCTTCCATAACACTATTTACTGCCTGACTCACACGAGGTTTTACACAATTGACATACCTCGGAATGCATGGTTTAATATTAAAATAGATTCTTGGGGCAAAATGGTGCAATAGATTTTGGTTTCACCTGGATATAATGTAATCTCCAATAATGGGGAAAGGTTACCTTTCATTACTTTACAACGAATCGAATCACGTAGACCTAAACTGTCCATTGAATTATGTTTAGTATGTCGTCACTCTTTGGTTTTGGTGTGGGTAAATGGTGATAGATGTGTTAATTTCTTTAAAAATAGAGCATACCCATACCGGGAGGCTGGACAGGCAACGATGCTGATTGTCACCAATGCATTTGTACGACGTTTGACATCACGAGGCGAGGTTCGTTTTTTAAAACACATAATACAACATCTCTTTTAGCAGTTCAAATAGCTAACTTTATGTATTCAATTAAACTCACAAGTTTTATACTTTAAGTGGCATTAGTAACTGGGCAGATAAATAAACTATAAACATACTCATGGAAAACAACTCTTGATTTATTTAGGCTATTTTTCGAAAAGTATTCTCTAAACGTTTTCATTAGTCTATATGGATAGAAGTAAATTGTAACAACCACAAATTTTTACTTGGCAACTATTATAGACCACCTTCATTAACTTCTAGTACAAACCAACAAATATTTAACTCTCTTCAAAACGCTGTAACCGACCCCTTGAACAAATGCATAATTTTAGGAAATGAAATGAAATGAAATGAAATGGGGTTTAACGTCCTACTGTTTTGCTCCGAACTGGGCTAATGAAGACGGGCATACGCCATACAGTGTGCTATGAGGGTAATTTTGCCCGGACAGCGGCACTACGGCCTACTCTTATATCGAATTCCAACTGTCAAGGGATCTTTTACGTGCACGCCAATGTGTACACGGGACCTCGGTTTTTCGTCTCATCCGAATGACTAGACAGCTGTCCTTGTCAGGCTCTCCGTCCTGCATCACTGACAAGGGGGAACCACGCCGGAAAATCTGGATGAACTTTCTCGGCCAATGCAGGGATCGAACACCCGACCTCCAGGCTAGCGAGCCAGCGCCTTACCCACTTAGCCACCGTGATCCCCCATAATTTTAGGTGACTTCAATATTGATATGTTAAAAAAATCTAAAAATTTTATTCTCGATGCGATAAATATATTCGACCTTACTCTGCTGATAAATAAACCTAATCATTATTCTAGCAAAAAACACACTTCTCTAATAGATTTGATATTAACCAGCTCGACATTACGAACAACTGAAAATGGTGTACTTGACAATTTCTGTAGTGACAACTATCCGGTATATTGCAAACTGGCATTTAACGTACAAAAACAACGCAGCTTTAAGCGAACGGTATGGAATTACGAAAACGCAGACCTTGGGGGCATACAAAGGGACGTTATAGCTACTAAATGGTACAATCGTATCAATAGTTCACATATAGAAGCATCGTGTGTTCAATTTACAAGCTCATTGATCAATATAGCAAAAGCAAATATACCTTGCAAAATAGTGACAATTAGGCAACATGATAAACCCTGGGTGAATGGCACAATAAAACGTATGAAAAAGAAGAAAAATAGATTACACAAAAAAGCGGTGAATAGAAATTTAAACTCTGATTGGCATAATTTCCGGAAAATTAGAAATGATTACATAGTCTTAATTAGAAAAAGCAAAAACGATTACTTTAACAAAACAGACAAAGAAATTAGTGACACAGAAAACTTTGGAACAAAATCCTGGTGGAAACTTATTAATTCATATACTAAAACACACGCTGCTTCTACAAACGAACCATCGCCATTATTAGTCAACGGTAACACTTTGTTTACTCAATCAGAAAAAGCAAACAATCACAACTAGATGACACTAATAAATCTCTACCACTGCTTGTTATGAACCCTAAGAGCATCGAAAAGATTGTACCAAATCCAGAGGAAGTTAAAGACATAATAGACAGTCTAGATACCACAAAAGCCTCAGGACCCGAAGAAATTAACACGCAAATTCTAAAATACATCTCAAAAGAAATCAGTCATCCACTTTGCCAACTTTTTAAAACTATCATTAGATCTACACATTGTACCAAAAATTTGGAAATTTGCAAACGGGGTCGCTATATTCAAAAAAAGGC